AGGAGGAGGAGGAGGAGAAGGAGGACGGGAGGGGAATGGGAGGGGGACGGGAGGGGGAAGGGGAGGCGAGTAGGGGGGGGGAGGACGAGGAGGTTTCGAAGAGAAGGAAGTGGGGGAGGGGAGAAGGAGGAGGGGAGCGTCGACGAGGAAGGGGGGTGAGGGGAGGAGAGGCAGAAGATTTGGGACGTGGCTTCCCCTCCCTCCTTCTCCTCCCTCCTCCCGTTCCTCCTCGTCCTGTCCCTCCTCTTTCTTCCCCCCTCCTATCCGCTTTCATCTTCCTCCTTCCCCCCCTCCTCCGTCCTCTTCCCTCCCTCGGCGCCGTGCCTGTGAGTGCCCAAGGTTGCCGATGGTGCCTGTGCAGCGAATTTCTGCCTCGGCGACACCCACCCCTGAGAACCCTCACAGTCGGACCGAGGTAGAAGATCGAGGTCGGTTCGGGGATGGTACTCGAAGTGTATTCGTGTTTGCTGGCTGTTCATGAGCACCCCGGGGAGGGTACCCTTTGCCCTTGGATACTCTGTGCGTTTTGGCCGTCGGAGGGTCTTGGGTTCTTGAGGGATGATTTTCTGTCCTAGGCTCGACTTGCAGTTAACGCGCCTAGCAAGGACGCGCGCCTTCATCTGGGGTACCCTTCTGTCTTTGCCTCTGCAGCCCGTCTTTGCCGTTTGCACTGGTCGCCCGCCGCCCACAAATTCCCAACCTCGGCATCCAGGGGTCTTGCGTCCTGACCCCCCGTCCTCAGCACGTTTTGACCGTAGGGGGGGATTCGGCTTTCAGGCCCGGGCGATGGCGAACACTCGATTGGGACGCTGACCTCCCCGCCCGCGAGCCCACGCTTGTATCGGAGCTAGCACCTCGCGTGCACACGTAGCGGGGCGTTGGCGCGGATGGGCGCATACAGCGAGGCCAAGCGACAGGTACGTACCGCTTGGCACCGCTCGGACGTGTGCACTTCCCTCGGCGATGACCATCGGGGAGACGTCTTGATATCAGAGGAAAGCGTACACGCACAGCAACGAAACATGCCTGACGAATGGATTCCCGAGCAGTCCATAGCACCTTTGCACTCTGTTTCCCACCAGCAGCCTCGATGTCGAGCTCCTCCTCCGTCCCTCCTCACTCTTCCCGCGTCCCCTCCTCGAGCTCCTCCGTGTTTCCTCCATCCTTTCTCTTGTGCGTAGCTTAGTGTTTGCGGATGGGCGCATAGCGCGCTAGTGACAGGCACATCTGCTAGCAGTCTATACCATTTTCTGCACTTTGGATCCTGACAGTTGCCCCGATGTCGAGTTCCTTCCTTCCGTCTCTCCCGTCCCCCATTCTTTTCGTCCTCCTCCATGCTTCCCTCTTCCCCCCCTTCCTCCTCCCCCTCCTCCCGCTCCCCCCTCCTCCTGCTTCTTGTCTCCCTGCGCATGAGCCAGAGCGAAGGCACGACACAAGCCGACCCAAGCGGCTCTATGCACTTCGACAGCACGCTATTACACCGCTGACCCATACCGACTAGCAGAACAACCGACAAAAGCAGTCCAGCTGGCGTCCACCACTACGGCCACACTCACCAGCTTGCGCCTCGCCAGCGGTGTGCCGAAGCCCAACCCGCGCCTCACAACGATGCTCGACTGCATCGTGCGCGCATCAAGGCTCGCGGACTCGAGCTGCACCCTGACAAAGTCAGTGTCACGGGCAACCAGACGCCAACAACTAATTGTAAGGGCGAGCTCGCGTACATCGCGCAACCAGGGCATGGACATCGACATATTCCCACGCGAGGGCAGTCTCGTGAACGGTGGCCAGCTCATCGGCGTCCACTACATGATGGAAACAGGAATTCAGCGCCAGGCGACAGCTGCGTGGACCTTGCTCCATTGGCGCAAACAAGAGCTGACCAGCAGGACTGGGGCAAGTATTTTGTTTTTTAACTTGATCCGTAAGGGCTTCGCCCCCTGCCGCCGGCCCCCTCTCTCGGAGAATGGGCCATGGAAGAGCTAAGTCATGAGGCCTTGGCGCTGTCGTGAAGCAGTATCGAAACTTCATGCGAAGCCGAGTCGCAATCAGCAAAACCAACTGATCACAAGAGGGGTTACCACACCTGGCGATTGGTAAGACGTGTATGGTTTAAGGGCTTGGTTACCACACCTTGCGATGAAAGGGCCGAGGGAGTTCTCGCAGTTTGGGTTACCACGCCTTGCGATGGATGTGCGTGATGGGTTCGAATTTCAGAAATGTGGCAAATCCCCTGTGTTTTTGGACCCTGACCCCGCGGATCTGCGTAAGGGGTGGCGCCGAATTTCAGAAATGTGGCAAATCCCATGTGTTTTTGGACCCTGACCTCGCGGATCTGCGTGAGGGGTGGCACCGAATTTCAGAAATGTGGCAAATCCCATGTGTTTTTGGACCCTGACCCCGCGGATCTGCGTGAGGGGTGGCACCGAATTTCAGAAATGTGGCAAATCTCATGTGTTTTTGGACCCTGACCCCGCGGATCTGCGTGAGGGGTGGCACCGAATTTCAGAAATGTGGCAAATCCCCTGTGTTTTTGGACCCTGACCCCGCGGATCTGCGTGAGGGGTGGCACCGAATTTCAGAAATGTGGCAAATCCTTTGTGTTTTTGGACCCTGACCCCGCGGATCTGCGTGAGGGGTGTGGATTTCGAGCCCCCCCAGCAATTCAGACAACGCGCCCAGGGGACGCTAAAAATCCCGTTTGGGCCTCCCCCCCCCTCGCGCGGTCAATCAACTAGTTACAGTAACCAGCAAGAAGTCAATTAGTTACAGTAACCAGCAAGAAGCAGAACTGTAACACTGGAAACTACAAACTACAACTGGTACAGGAAACTGCGAATCACGTGCCTCGCAGCCTGGTGGCCCCACAAGGGGGCCGGCGGATCTAGGCATTCAGAGCGGCCTCATAGGTTTTATGTAAACGAATAGGTTCAGCAGCATCAGAAGTTCTTCATGTGCTCTCTAGGCTACTACCCCTCGATCAGCACAGTACACAAGACAGCATGACACGGATCATAGATCGGCGCTCACGGAAACCGTCCCGCGCCATTTGCGGCGGACATCGCAGCTCGTGCTTCAGATGATCACCAGGACGCGTCGACAGGCGCGCCGTCCAGCGGTCAAATCTCGCAGCATCAAGGACAGCTCAGGATGTCGACTGCCATGAGGCATCGCACGTTTCCCGACGAAGCGCGAACAAACGTCTTGGCGCATGGCTTTAAGGGTAGCCAGCCACGAGCCCTTTACAGTGGCAGCCCGGCGTCAATCCACTCCAGCGCAGCCAGCCACATCAGTGCGTCTGACGTAAGCTCTGGAACGACGGACGACGTGACCACGTATCTTCGGCAACGCAGACCCGATCTGCACCCATCGCCCGCACCTGCTGCGAAGGGCCAGGCAAACGTGGGTTCGGACGGCCAAGACAGTCCCGCCTGGTCAATGCCCGAACACCAATGTGCCGGCACCGGGCTTGGCATTCACAACCCACGTCGGCATCGTCATCTCTTCCTACCCCTTCTACTCCTCCTCCTCCTCCTCCTCTAGATCCCCGAAGCCGTGCCTTCACCCAATCCTCACGGTGTTCCTCAGAGGTGTTTGTGCGTTAGTCCGCACCAGAAGGAGCAGGCGACGATGCTGCCCAGCATGCGAGAACAGTGCGGTGGCTGCCGTCGTACTGTCGCACGTGACCCAGACGCCATACACTGCCGTGTGTGCAAGGCCGCGTGTGAAAAAACACCCGCCAGGAGCGGCAGCCGAAAGGCAGCCCACACCAACAGCTGGGGGGCAGCGGCAGTGGCAAACCGACGCGTACAGCGCTGGTGTACCAATCATTGCGTGCGGGAAGGGGCTGCAGTGACAGCACCAGCCAGGGTGAGTTGGAACGCCCAGTATCACCTGCTGTACGGCGTGGCTCGCTGAGTGTGAAAGATGACGGCAATAGCAGCACGTGTGGAGCTGGATACGGGACCTCCAACGACATCAACCACAGCTCTGGGAATGTAGGAAAGGGCGCGTTCCGTGGTCGCTTGAGGGGGAAGGGGTTGGAACCGAGCATCCCCCCCTGGATGGAGGGGGTGGTTCGAACCCCCCCCTTTCCCGTGACGGAGGGAGGGGGGTTCAACCCCCCCCCTTTTCCTCTCCTTTTCCTGTCTCCCTTTCCTCGGGCCGGCGCCTGCGTCGGCGGCGGCTTGCGGCGGCGGCGGCGGGGGCGACGACTTCCTTTTCTGGGCCGACACCGGCGCCTGCGGCAGTGGGCGGCGGCGGCAGGGACCGTCGACGCGGACGACGGCGACGACGATGACGACGACGACGAAGCTCCGCCACCGTGCCTTGGTTTTCGGTCAGAGTCCGAATGGATGCCTCTTGGGGTCTCGTCGGAGGGCTTTCTGGGGCCTCTGAAGGGTATTTGTGAAGACTCCTGGGCACCATTGGGCGTCTCTTGGGGCCTCTTTGAGGTGGTGGTGATTGTGGGCTGTGGTGGTAGTGGTGGTGGTTGTGGCGGTGGCGGTGGTGGCGGTGGTGGTGGTGGCGGTGGTGGTTGGTGGTGGTGGCGATGGTGGTTGTGTTGGTGGTGGTGGCAGGTTGTGGTGGTGGTGGTGGCTGTGATGGTGGTGGTGGTGCAGTTGTTTATGGTGGTGGTGGTAATAGTTGTGTCGTTGGTGGGTTAAGGTGGTGGTGGTGGTGGTGGTGGTGGTGGTGGTGTGGTGGTTTGTCGTGGTGGTTGTGATGGTGGTAGTGGTTGTGGTGGTGGTGGTGGTGGTTTTGGTGGTGGTGGTGGCGGTGGTGGCGGTGGTGGTTGTGGTGGTGGTTTGTTGTGATGGTGGTGGTTGTGGTGATGTCTTGTGCTGGTGGTGGTGGTTGTGGTCGTC